TATTTAAATAATGATAGTCTTTTTTTCAAAATTGCTGTAAGAAAATTATTTTCAAAGATCTTAGCTGTAAATATGTCTTTTCATCATTTGCAAACTTCAGACAAGTAGAAAACTTGCAAGCTATTCAGTCATGTTGTAATGTAGAGCTTTTTCATGTTAATTCCTGGATCTTTAAACCTTTTTAAAAGCTGAATCAACAGCACATATTTGTCCAAGAAATACATGGTATGGTATTCTGCTGGGTTTTTATAACCATATGGATTATATTTTCTGGTTAAGCAGAAGAAGACAACAAATCTTGCTTGGGGCATCTGTTATACACACAAAGAAAATGTAAATTGATACAGGTTTAATTGATAGTCCCAATATATCTTTGTTTCAAGATCGGTCTAGATATTCAAGATGGAACAAGACTTTAGCAGTAATTGAATAGGTTCTGTCAGATTTTAATTCAAGATGAAACAGACTGTGTTTACATGTTTATTCATTCTGTCATTATGGAGAGCATGGATTAGAAGGCCATTATTGTGTGTATGGAAGAATAAGGAATGCCATTTAATTTAAAGTTAATTTTATGTGGAAGAATCTTAGATGTAAAGCAATGAGATTTAGTTTAACTAGGTTTGTAAGCCTAAAGAAATTTATGTGTTTAAATGGCACCCATCATCAACACTTCAAAACAAAGCTCTGAAAAATTTTAACCCTTAGCAAACTGCTATTTTGTTCAGTAGTATTCATAGATCCTATGAAGACATCTATACATCATGGAAATAAGCTGTCATGTGTTTACTAATCGGTGTAAATATATGTTGTGTACTTGTATACCACTGTGAAGCACCATCACAGTAACTAGTGCTGTAATCCAGGGGTCAGTACTGTGTACAATCCTGTTTAACATTTTAATTAATGGCCTGGATGATGGGACAGTGTATATCCTTAGCAAGTCTGCAGAAGAAAAAAAACTTTGAGGAATGGCTGATACACCATAGGGCTATCGCAGCCAGGGGGACCTGGAGAGCATGGAAAAATGGGCTGACAGGAACCTCTTGAGGTTCAACAAGAGGAAGTACAAAGCTCTGCAGCTGAGAAGGAACAACCCCAGGCACCACTATATGCTGGGTGTCACCCAGTTGGAAAGAAACTTTTGCAGAAAAGGACCTGAGGACAGAAAGTTGAACATGAGACATCAATGTGGCCATGCAGTAAAGAAGGCCAATGGTATCTAGAGCTGCATTAAACAAAGTGCAGCAGGTTGAGAGAGGTGATTCTTCCCCTTTATTCAGTGTTGATGAGGCCAAATCTGTAGTACTGTGTACAGTTCTGGGTTTCTCACTACAAGAAAGACTTGGACATACTGCAAAGAGTCCAGTGAAAGGCCACAAGGGTGGTGAAGGGACCGGAGCATTGCATATATGAGGAAAGTCTGAGAGATCTGGGACTGTTCAGCCTGGAGAGGAGAAGGCTCAGGGGGTGTCTCATCAATATATATAAATACCTTAAGAGAGGGTGCAAGGAGTCAGAGCCTGGCTCTTTCCAGTCTTGCCCACTGACAGGACGAAAGGTGATGGGCACAAACTGAAACACAGGGAAGTTGTTCCTGAAGATCAGGAAACACTTCTTTGCTGTGAGGGTGACTGAGCATTGTTACAGGTTGCCCAGGGAGGTGGTGGAGTCCCCCTCCTACGAGATGTTCAAAAGACATCTGAACAGAGTTCTGAGCAACCTTCTCTAGGTGATCCTGCTTGAGCATTGGGGTTGGACCCTGTCAGCCCCATCTGTTCTGCGATTCTGTGAATACATGATAGTGTAATGGTGTATGCCATCAGAAGACATGGAAGTATCTACACTTTCATATCAAGTCCAATCTCAAATTTAAAAAAGAATAGAACAACTAATTTATTTTAAAATGCAATAAATTTCCTTCTGAAAATTAAGTTTGCAGAATGTATATAATTTCAGATCATGATCTGACATTTACTTAACTCAATTATATATAATATATGTTAATTTATTACAGAGAGTGAAACTGATGCAAAAGGACATAAAACTTGTACTTGATAGCAGAGAAAAAATAGCATCCTTGTGGAAAAATAGATTTTGAGCTCTTTCAGACACCTATTTTAAAATGAAACCAACAAGTCATGAAAGTGCTGCTAATTGTGTGTGTACCTATGATAGCATAAAGAATGGAGTTTGTTAAGCATTCATCTTTCTCGGGGTATAAGAAAACAAGTGAGATAATTGAGTATAAAAATGGCTAATGACAAACTGTACACCACAGGCATCAGACATATCTTAGCCAGGATCAGGAATGAGAAATAAGTCTTCCCCAAACTGAAAGTAAAAGTGTGGTGTCTTTTGAGAATTTGCCACAGCAGTAGAATGAATTAAGCATGAATTGTACCTTATATAAGTCCAGTGACAAGAACGGCATGAGGAAGGTCCAGCCCAGCTGAAGTGCTTCTGTCCCTTTAGGCATACACTGAACACTCTTGTCACAGGGTGTTTCCCCAGTTATGAAGAAGTCAGACATCCCCAATACCTGGACAGAAGGTAAAGCTGAATTTTGATTTGGAATTTTTATGGCTGCAGATGAGCAGCCACGGTCCACCCTGTTGTGACTGTTGTGTGAGGGGGAAATGACATACTCATTTATGACCATAAAGTGATGCACTAAACCAGAAAAACCCAGATGCCTCCAATTAAACAGGTAATCACTGCTGATCCACAAGCCTTCTAGATAACAGGGTCATAGAGAAGCGGAGAGCCATGGTAAGAATACAGAAGATAATTCTTTCTAAGGAGAATACAGAAATGTTCCCTTTCTTTAAGTTATTAGCAGGACTCTGTTCAAGGCTGTAACAGCAACAGCTCCATAACAACAAAGGCTTTCCAAGGCTTTCTGCCAAGGTCCCTTAAATATGACAATGACTAATTCTTCCAGCTCTCTAACTCTAAGATGTGCCACTGGGGAGACACAAAGCTAGATGTTGATATTCTGAGTATTTCTTCACTCCAGAAGAAAGACATCTGCAGCTTTTACTATCCCCATGCCTGCTGCCACAGAAAATGTTCTTGAGACATAGGGAATACACATTCATCTTGTCTTTTGGATACCAGTAACTTCACTTTACTCCTTAAATATTATGGAAAAGGATCAGTAGACGTGTTTGGAAATCTGAAGTGTTATGAAAGCTACAGCAACAACAGAAAGATTCTAGTTACCTCACAGCATCTGAAATTTATCCTAGGCCTTATAAGAATTTTTATCATTATTGCTGATATTTCAGAACAAAGTGTAACTACTTGCCCCTAGTTCTGCACAGTGCAGAATTTACTTCAATAATCTTTAGGAGGAAAATTCCGATACTATGGTTGCTGGGACCTCTGTGATACAGAAAGTTCACTCAGTGACACAACTTTTTAACATATCATCTTAAGAGATCAGGATACAGCAGAAAAAATAAATTTTAAAAAGCAAGTCAGTAAGTAATTAAGTTATATGTCACTTAAACAGTGAATAGACCAAAAGAACTTTATAAAAAGTGATTTTCCAAAGAGTACATTTAAGCTCAATGAAAAAGGCAGAACTCTATCTCATAGACAGAAAGGCAAGTACCAGTTCAACATAGCTAGATGTTTCTATGAAATCTATTATTTACATTCACAGGAAGAAGTAAAACTAATGAAAGAACCAAAGGAAAGAAGAAAACAAGTAGCTGAAAAAACAAACCAAAAACCAACAAAACCAAACAACCACACACATTCACATGAAAGACAGAACAAGTAGAGAAAATTGGACAGTGAGAACATTAAAAGAAAATACCAAACATGAAGAAATTAACTCTAACAAAAACTATGTTCAAGAACAGAAAAATAATATATACATATGTAAAGAAAGGTATGGATTTTTTCATCTGCTTAAATATATTTTAAAATCTAGTAGTATAAATTTGAAGTGCTCTGCCTTAAAAAAGTAATTTTATATGATATATTTAAAGACTCACTAAAATCTGAGCTGTTAGAAGCAAACATTTTTACATATAACTTTATAATATAGTAGATTCAAATTAAAAGAGGTATTTTCATGTTAAGTAGCATATGCATCAATGGATGTAAAAAATCGCAGATCATGTTCATAATCATGTTTCTTAAAATGCAGAATTTAATGTTAGAACCTTTAGGAAGCAACCATTAAAATATTTTTCATCTAAATAGATCAAGTTTGGACTTGTTGAATAAAAACAGTTCTTCAAGGAAAACATCATTCTGAATCCCCTCTGAATCCTCACAAGGTAACTCTTAGTAAAACTGCATCTCTTAACAATCTTATTTTTGTCCACGCTATCATTAAAATCCATAATCTTTTTCTCTGGGGACATGAACTGAGAATCTATCAGATTCAGGTGACAGGTGTTTTATGAGATATTTACAGTCACAAACCTTTTCAATCCATAAATGTCATGCACCATATAAGTATACTATATAATCTCCCTTTTGTGAATCCTATAAAAAGGAGAAGCACACAGGGTCTACTTTATTCTTCTTACTTTATCAGTGATTAGTGCAGGGAAGGTAATAAACCTAACTGATACAATCCAAAACAAAAATGCACTCAGCACATTGAACGTTTTGCAGTTGTTATGATTAGATTGAGTAGTAAAGTATAAATTAATTTGATGTTAGTTGGAGTCTTTCTTGCTCAGTGTAGAATTATTACATGAACCTTTTATTCGCACAGAGATTGCCTAAGAAAATCTCTTCACATTGCATCCTTGGTCTTTCAGCATGGATTTGTAATACAATTAGAGTTGTGAAGATTGCACATTTTTTTTCCACCAGTAAAATAAACCACACTATAATGGCAATTGACATTCCACAGTAATATCTGTACACTTCCTAGCAAGACTGGTAATACACCACCATCACACAGAAAAGCTTCCTTTAACTGCAGCCAAGCTTGTCTTCCTATTTAGAGGTTGAAAGCTTGACCCACCTGTACTGGCTGCCAGGAAGAGAAGAAAGACCATGGTTTAGAAGCTGGCATGTGAGAGTTCAGACTGTGAGAGTGGAACTGGAACACAGCACAGAAGAAGCAACTGGATCTCCTTGTAGGTTTAATGGAAAATATTTCCTCCAATAAAATTTGTGCCAAGTGCCCATCAAACACTGCAATGAGAACAAAGAGATAAGTACAAGAAATCAGTTAATAATGTCCTTTCAGTATTCATTTCTCCAAAATTCACCTGCAAAGATATCCTTTTCATAGTTTTGCTGTAATGTTTTTTTTGCTGACCTGTGGCATAACAATAACTTCATTCAGATGAAGTAAAATAAAGTACAAGAACAGAGGTATGTTCATAGATGAATAAGACTATTAGACTAGCATGGAGATCTGTGTGGCAGCAAACACTTAAATATTTTTCTGATAATGCTGTTTTCCACCACTGTCCCACATGTTCGACTGGCTTATGTATTTTCTCATACTTTATTTTCTTGTTTAATTTGTCATCTGCTTCTTGCTGTGACACTGTTTCTCAGTCACAGGAGTTCAGTACTATTGTTATGCCTTCAGCTTTCTGTAAACCCTCAGGTACATTATTAATTGTTTCACACTGAATAATGTAGAAGTCATGACAGACCACCCATAAAAATTCAGTATTATTAATTTCCATGAACACTAAAAACATGAAGCACATACTTTCAGTGGCACTGTCTTCTAAATTCTATTAAAATGAAAGAATGATCAGAGGGCTGGAGCGTCTCTCCTATAAAGACAAGCTGAGAGAGTTGGGGTTGCTCAGCCTAGAGAAGAGGTCTTCCAGTACCTAAAAGGGGCCTACAAGAAAGGTGAGGAGGGTCTTTTTAAAAGGGCATGTAGTGATAGGACAAGGGGTAATGGATTTAAACTGAAAGAGGGTAGATATAGATTAGATGTAAGGAAGAAATCCTTCACTGGGAGGGTGGCAAGACACTGGAACAGGTTGCCCACAGAAGTCGAGGAGGCCCCCTCCATGGAAATATTCAAGACCAGCTTGGATGGAGCTTTGAGCAATGTGGTCTAGTGGAAGATGTCCCTATACATGGCAGAGGGGTTGGAAATAAATTACTTTTAAGGTTCCTTCCAACCCAAACCACATAATACATAAATAAACATAATAAACACAGAGCTAGAAAGGGAAAACATGGTATTTTGCCTATGACGGATAAGAAACTGGGTTTGAAAATAGTTATTTCACAGTAAAAAAACCTTCATACCTAGTCCTAGAATGAAAGTGGTATATGCTATCTTTGTCAGCACTTCAGACACTTTAAAAGTTTATATCTTTTTCATAGACTGCTAGAATATTCATCTGACATTTTTTCTTTCAAAAGAACTAGCTAAGACACTTATGTCATTTGCAGTGCCGTACATCATTTTCAATCTATAGCTAATACACTCTCAGTATTATACCAGTGAAGGATGTCAGACTCCAAGGAAGGGTTCATTTAACTTCATCCATTTTTCAGGGGAAATGTCTGGTGATTATATAAGCTGCTATCAATACTAATAGCCAGAGAGATAAATGCATTTTTTAAAGCAGTTATAATTTCTGAGTTTCCTGTTTGCAGTGGCTGATTAAGGTGGAATATTTGTGCCTCAGATATGCATTTTTTTTACTTCAAAATGTTCTCTTACCATTTTTTAGACTCAGAAAAAATCAGATTTATACAATGAGTCTAATGCTTTCTCCTTTTTTTTGCCTTAGGCAAAGGGTGATATCTCATAGGGGGGAAAAGACTACTGAGAAATAGTGATACCTCTGGTTTATGTACTGTGGCTAGACTTATTTCTGTTTTGAGGTGCTCTTTAAGCATTGACAGTCAAGGCTTTACAGGCTTGCACGGAGAATCAAACCATTCAAATCCCTTTTGAAGTTTTTCTAAGATTTCTATTTAAATACATATTTATAAAACCCAATGATTTGTCCATTTAGAAAACATTGAGTTATTTAGGTTGACACTGTAGAGCTCTCTCCCTTTATACCACTCTTTCTCTCTTTGGATGACTGAATGTAACACAATTTACTTTCCAACACCAGTGCAAACACTTCTCAGGATTTGATTTTCATACTGTTACTTTGTCTTGCTGCACTTCAGTAACTTTAAATCTTTATATTTAGAAAAAAAAAAAAAAAAAAAAAAAAAAAAAACCACGAAAAACCGCTTCCGATCTAAATACAGAGAGCTTAGGCACTTTCAAAGTTGTCCATTAATTCCATGATTGAACTGGTTCAGTACACCAACAGGGTAGTAAGCAGCCAAAAAGTATTACTTCTCATTAAATATAGATGCAAGGTTAAAAAATGTCCAAACTTGAGTTATACCATAACAGTGAGAAAGAGAACCAATATAAATTATATCATTTTTGCCCATTAGCTTGAAGCTTTAATTGCAGTCAGTTCTACATTTTTGTTGTGGAGTTAGTACATCAACCATCTAAGAAAGACTCCAGCATGCATTTGTGTATATCTCTGATAATTCTGCAGGAGCCCACATCTGGCCCTGTAGAAATTTAGAAGTCAAAAATAGTTCAGCTTGGAATTTAGGTGCTAGAAGGAAAGAGGTGCCTTAAAAGCACATCTCTAACGAGAGGGGTGGGAAGCCCTGCTAAGTAAGGGTGCAAGGAAAAGTATTACTGTGGAGAGTTCTAGTGGCACATACTCAGGAAGAGAAGAGCAACAATTTTAAACATGAGATTCTACTTATGATGAGAAAATAATTTCATGGAGGAATCTCTTCTCTTAACATTTTCCAGTTTAGGGAGTGAGGGTTTAGACAACAACTGAAATGTGGGTTTACGAATTCAACCTCATTACTTAAGTTCAGGCAAATCACCCTACAACTTTGATAGTTGTCTTATCATATTCATTTCATATTCAGGCTAATAGGAAAAAGTCTTACAACCATGGTACCTTATCTAAGATCTTTTTAGTACAGTATTTAAACATGTAAGATTTACACTTGAACTATCAGATAGTGCATCATTTTCCTTAATATTTTAAGAACTCGCCTATGTTAGTAGGGAAAGATAAGTTATAGTCAAATAAGCAATAGAAAATAAGTTGACCACATAAATGTACAAAAAGATTGAATTCAGATAATATTATTCAATCTTCTCCAAGTGTAGAGATATACATAAGTACTCAGAACTATAGAATGTTTTGTCAAAATCAGTAACCCAATGCAAAATGCAACATTCCTACAATGTGTGGGAGACAATTTCCTGACACAGCTGGTGAGTAAACCACCCAGAGAAGATGCCCTGCTGGATCTCCTCTTTGTGAACAGAGAAGGACGGGTGGACGATGTGGAGGTTGGAGGCCGACTAGGGCACGGCGATTATGAAATAATAGAGTTCTCTATTCTTAGAGAGGTCAGGAGAGAGCTAAGCAGGACTGACATCCTGGACTTCAGAAGGGCTGACTTTGTCTTGTTTAGGCACCTGCTTGAAAGGATCCCCTGGGAGACTCTCCTGAAGGGTATAGGGGCCCAGGAAGGCTGGGCGCTCTTTAAGAAGGAAGTGTTAATGGCTCAGGAGCAGGCGGTCCCCGGGTACTCTGAGAGAAGCCGATGCCAGAGAAGACCACCCTGGGTGAACAGGGAGCTTTGGCTGCAACTCAGGGAGGAAAGGAGAGTTTACAGCCTTTGGGAGAAGGGGCTAGACAAACACAGTGATTACAAAGAGGCTGTGAGGCTATGCAGGGTGGAAATCAGAAGGGCTAAAGCACAACTGGAAATTAATTTAGCCTCTGCAACCAAGGATAACAAGAAAAGTTTCTATAAGTATGTCAGTAGCAAAAGAAAGACCAGGGAGAGTCTTCATCCCCTGCTAGATGCAGGAGGAAATTTGGTAACAAGTGATGAGGAGAAGGCTGAGGTGCTTAATGCTTTCTTTGCCTCAGTCTTTAATAGCAAGGTTAGTTGTATTGATGAAATCCAGCCTCCACAGCCAGAATACAGAGACTGGGAGAATGACTCTTCGACAATCCAGAAGAAGACAGTCAGTGACCTGCTGCATCACACAGACACACACAAGTCTATGGGACGGGATGGGATACACACGAGGGTGCTAAAGGAGCTGGCTGGGGTGCTCGCCAGGCCACTTTCCATCATTCACCAGCAGTCCTGGCTGGCCGGGGAGGTCCCGACTGATTGGAAAGTTGCCAGTGTGATGCCCATATATAAGAAGGGTCGGAAGGATGATCTGGGAAATTACAGACCTGGCAGATTGACTTCGGTGCCCGGGAAGCCGATGGAGCAGCTCATCCTGAGTACCATCACACAACACATGAGGGACAGCCAGATGCTCAGGCCCAGTCAGCATGGGTTTATGAACGGCAGATCCAGCTTGACAAACCTGATGTCCTTCTACAACAGTGCAACCTGCTTATTGGATGAGGGAAAGGCTGTAGATGTAATTTACCTTGCCTTTAGCAAGGCCTTTGACACCATTTCCCACAGCATTCTCCTGGTGAAAATGGCTGCTTGAGGTTTGGAGAATCGCACACTTCACTGGGTAAAAAACTGTCTGGACAACTGGGCCCAAAGAGTTGTGGTGAACAGAGTTAAATCCAGTTGGCAGCCAGTCACAAGTGGTGTCCTCCAGGGCTCGGTTTTGGGGCCACTCCTGTTTATCATCTTTACTGATGATCTAGACGACGGCATCTAGACACCTCATCACCCTCTACAGCTCCCTGAAAGGAGGGTGCAGAGAGCTGGGAATGAGCCTCTTTAGCCTAGTAGAAAGCGACAGGACAAGAGGGAATGACCTCAAGTTGTGCCAGGGAAAGTTCAGACTAGATGTTGGAAGCATTTCTTTCCAGAAGGGGTTGTTAAGTGTTGGAATGGGCTGCCCAGGGAGGTGGTGGAGTCCCCATCCCTAGAGGTGTTCAAGAGTAGGGTCAGTTTAGAGCTTAAGGATATGCTGTAGGTGGGAACTGTGCTAGGCGAACGTTTGGACTAGATGATCTTCAGGGTCCTTTTCAACCTATATGATTCTGTGATTCTCTGAAAATATCTGCCTTTTATAATAATATGCTTTTAGAGTTATCTGCCTTAGACTAAGACAATCTCAAGTGGCTTTCTACACCATTATTAATAAAAGGAAACCATTCTGACCTGTCTTAGCTTTTCAAATTACATTTACTCTCCTTGTTCAAAGCTAAATTTCTCTCATGATTTTTCCATTGTTTGTAAATGGAGGAAATCTGACACTATTTCCTCCTTCCCTTTATTGCATAAAGTCAACTTCCTGGCATACTTTCTACTGTTTTTACCTATGCTTTCCCCAGGCTTTTAGGAAGTGCTTTCCATTTCCGTATTACAGGAATGATCGAGCACCTTTTTTATGTCTTTCTTTACCACTGCAGTTCCTCAGGTGTTCCTGTCTTCTAGCATGGGCTCCTATAGAGCAGTCAAATGATTCCTGTATAATTTCCATGGAGTCTTCTAACAGCTGAGACTGTAGTTACGTAGGTTTGGTTTAGTCTGATGCTACATCTTTCACCAGCAGAGTAACTAGCTGTATCAAAGAGATATAAGACGTTTTATTTATTGTGAGGCAGGACTGGCTTATGCTGGTATACCTTCAGCTGGCAGTTTTATATCTGAAAGGTCCAGCTGGTAAAACACGTCCTTCCATAGTTGTGGTGGTTTAGGCCCTGCTGGGACCCGAGACCACGCTGCTGTTGTCCCTTCCCCACCCTCAGACCAGATGGGGCAGGGAGAGAGATAAAAATGCCAGGGTTGAGATAAGGAAAGATTTAATACAACAGTGTAACAACAACAAACCGAACAGCAACAATAGCAATAACAATAAGCAGTAATAACAGTAAACAGGACAAAAGATGTACAGAGCTATATCACAACAATAGAGCAGTCCCATCGCAGGTACCGTCAGGGACAAAAGCAACACAGAAACTCTTCCTGATCTTGGGCACACGGACCTAACGTCAACATGGTATGGAATAACCCAGCTAGATCTCCCTCCCCACTGCTGGGGAAACTTAACCCTATCCTAGCTGAACCAGGACAATAGTGTCTCCTTAAAATTTTCCTTAAAAAACTGTTTCAAATATATCCTCAAATCTTGTACCTGCTGTTAAAAACAATTCAGAATATAGGTACATTTTCACAGGATTTTTTACCTCCTACTTTAAATTCTTCACACAGGGAACTGTATGGGGTCAGTGAAGCTCCATCCTAATCATACATGGTTTATTACCACTGGGCATTATTAATGGATCCAAATATTATAATCGTATTCAAATTATTAGACATGGTACCCGAAGATTACATTGAAATAGTCTTCCCAAAATAGGTGATCTCTATTCCATACTTACAATTTCTTTTTCAGTAATAGAAGATATTTCAGAACCTAATTGAATTATATGTTAAACATAATGGAAGGATACAGCAGAAGCACTATTCTTTGTAATTAAACAATAACACAAATAATTAGGTTTCATTTGATGCTAAAAGAATTATCATATCTGTTAGGCAAAAAAATACAAAGTTCACTGGAATCCTAACGTAGTGTTCTGTTTTGATTATAAATCAAAATAAGATGAAATATTCAAAGAAATATGAAATATTCCATGCAATACAGCTGAAACAAGAAATGATGTGTCATATTTTGCAATTTCCCATCGGTTCAACAAATTAGTAACAGAGGAAAATTGCAGGAGAATATCTATTAAAATAATTATCAAATCAGTGAAAAATATATCCATTAGAATAAGCATAAGACTGAATGCCTATTTAACACACACTGACAGGCTACAAAAGACACTGTAGACTAGAACTCTGTATGAAGACTGACAATCACATTTGGGCTCTTAGTATATACTATAATTATAAGGAAGGCTTGACTACCTAAATGTCACTTTCTCAAGTTTTAACTGCTTCTTGAAAGTATACTTTATCCTCCCCCTACTGAATTCCTAAATGCAATAGTCCAAAAATCTCATTTTAATATTTCATGCTAAGAGTTCACATACTTTCCCAATGTTCAGTCTGTTACGTACCACCTGGCATGTAGCTAAACCATTTAATTACCCTGAACAGCACCTGATAACATTTTTCAGATTGACACTAAGGTGTGAGTTAGGTAACAAGGTATATATACATCCTTGGTAGCTGCAGAGTAGCAAGTTCAGGATCAAATACTGTAATTAAGTAGAAGAAAAATGAATTTAAAAAATTACAAAATTAATGGCAGCAGAGAGATATTATCAAGAATTTTCATTGTAAAATATGCTGCATTTTTCTGTTCATATATTTAGACAGAAGGAAAGGAAAAAGGTGTCAAGCCAGCCACAAAAGGCATGAGAGGCCATTTTAATCCTAGTATCTCCAATGATATGTGAACAATTCTGGGAATTTCAGAATACAACTTGAGCTGGGTTTGTTATAATTATGGGGAAGTTATGCAAATTTTTTTCTCTAGCTGATAATTGCAGCCTCTGCAAATGGCTGTGTACATTATCTTCCCTCTCATATTAATGACTACTAATGTGACTTCTGTACCTGTTCATGTGATTAATTTTTAAACATTGCATAGTAGTGCATAGGTAGTAGTATGGGAAGGGAAGGGAAGGGAAGGGAAGGGAAGGGAAGGGAAGGGAAGGGAAGGGAAGGGAAGGGAAGGGAAGGGAAGGGAAGGGAAGGGAAGGGAAGGGAAGGGAAGGGAAGGGAAGGGAAGGGAAGGGAAGGGAAGGGAAGGGAAGGGAAGGGAAGGGAAGGGAAGGGAAGGGAAGGGAAGGGAAGGGAAGGGAAGGGAAGGGAAGGGAAGGGAAGGGAAGGGAAGGGAAGGGAAGGGAAGGGAAGGGAAGGGAAGGGAAGGGAAGGGAAGGGAAGGGAAGGGAAGGGAAGGGAAGGGAAGGGAAGGGAAGGGAAGGGAAGGGAAGGGAAGGGAAGGGAAGGGAAGGGAAGGGAAGGGAAGGGAAGGGAAGGGAAGGGAAGGGAAGGGAAGGGAAGGGAAGGGAAGGGAAGGGAAGGGAAGGGAAGGGAAGGGAAGGGAAGGGAAGGGAAGGGAAGGGAAGGGAAGGGAAGGGAAGGGAAGGGAAGGGAAGGGAAGGGAAGGGAAGGGAAGGGAAGGGAAGGGAAGGGAAGGGAAGGGAAGGGAAGGGAAGGGAAGGGAAGGGAAGGGAAGGGAAGGGAAGGGAATTTTGTGTCAGTACTGGTTAAACAACTTAAGATATGATCAAAACAACGAAATGAAAGCTAAACTTCCACAAGATTTCCCCGTGAAGCACATTATATGGAATAATCGCTTACACTGTGAACTCAGTGTAATATCTAGCAGCTATACTGCTTTCTACTATGCAAGAGAGTCTCCAGAGGTGCTATATAAAATAGCTAATAAAAACCATTATTTACAAACTAGAAGCACTCTTGTGATATAGTTATGGGAGAGATCTCTGATGATACACAGCTTTACTGAATAGCAGGGAGAAGCTACATTAAACAGTGGAGGGTGTTTATAAAACTACATAGCAGCATGTACTTATGTGTTTGTGAAGTGGCAGATGTGAGGAAATGAGACATAATTAGGTGCAGCTTTTCAAAGAGTCCAGGACTGCTACAGTTTTATGGTACTTTTTGGTTTACTGTAGTGCTTTAATGGTCTCCAGCACTAGACAAATTTACAAGAACCACAGTAACATGATCATAGTAGAGCTTTTCATACTCTATTATTTGTACTTACCATTATATCCAGTTAAGTAGAACTTTCTATATCTAAATCTTTCAAGTACTCTGCCAACCCACTAGACTCTGAAAGGCAGCAAGAATGAATTTTAGATTCCCTGAATAGGTGCAATTACATATATTTTTGAAGTTTATTTTCATCTGACAAAAAGTTGTCCAGTTTAAACCAGCTTTAAAACTCAAGAAGAATATACTTCATCCTTGAAGTACATAAAGAATACAAAACTTGACAGAAGTTTCTTTTTTTTCTTTACCAATCTCTTGATTTCAGCTTTTTTGACCTGAGATTGTCACTGAGCATTTCACAAGTTTCTTTTCCATACAAGTGATTACAAGTTATTCAGAACTAAGAAACTTCACAGAATCAACTAAGTTGGAAAGGACCTTGATGATCATCCAGTCCAACCATTAACCTAACACTGACAGTTCCCAACTACACCATATCCCTCAGCGCTATGTCAGCCCAACTCTTAAACACCTCCAGGGATGGGTACTCTACCACTGCCCTGGGCAGCCCATTCCAACTCCTAACAACCCCTTCTGGATATAAATGCTTCCTGACATCTAATCTAAACTTTCCCTGGTTCAGCTTGAGGCTATTATCTCTTGTTCTATCCCTTATTACTTGGTTAAAGAGACTTATCCCCAGCTCTCTGCAACCTCCTTTCAGGGAGCTGTAGAGGGCAATGAGGTCTCCCCTCAGCCTCCTCTTCTCCAGACTAAACACCCCCAGTTCCCTCAGCCGCTCCCCGTACGACCTGTGCTCCAGACCCTGCACCAGCTTCGTTGCCCTTCTCTGGACACGCTCGAGTCATTCAATGTCCTTTTTGTAGTGAGGGGCCCAAAACTGAACACAGGAATCGAGGGGCGGCCTCAGCAGTGCCGAGTACAGGGGTCAGATCCCTTCCCTGTCCCTGCTGGCCACGCTATTGCAGACACAAGCCAGGATGCCATTGGCCTTCTTGGCCACATGGGCACACTGCTGGCTCCTGTTCAGCCGGCTGTCAGTCAACACCCCAGGTCCCTCTCTGACTGGCAGCTCTCCAGCCACTCCTCCCCAAGCCTGTAGCGCTGCTGGGGGTTGTTGTGGCCCAAGGGCAGCCCCCGGCATTTGGCCTCATTGAAACTCCTACGGTTGGCCTCAGCCCATGGCTCCAGCCTGTCCAGGTATCTCTGCAGAGCCTCCCCACCCTCGAGCAGATCAACACTCCCACCCAACTTGGGGTCATCTGCAAACTGACTGTTATAAATTGAGACCGCAATGGATCATAATTCAATTGAATTATTTTATTAATTATAGCAAGTAGAATATGAGCAAAGACAGCGCTGGACGGCAGGGGAGTCTGCGCTCCGCCATCTGGAGTTATTCTTCTTATTTCTGGCATTTCCTGGAAATCTTGGCGTTTACCTTGCACAAGCAGTGTCTGGTTTAGTTTGTGTAAGCGATTGCGGTTATCTTACCCTAAGCGGTGTCTGGTTTAGTTTGTGTAAGCGATTGTGGTTATCTTACCCTATACAAGCGGTATCTGGTAGCTGTTTGCATAAGCGATTTCATATCTTTTGTTGCCTAGCCTTTACATTGAGCTTAACATACATTGAGCTTAACATACATTTAACATAAGTCTTAATAAACAATACCCTAGTCCATAGTTTCTCACATGACTGAGGGTGCACTCGATCCCCTCGTCTAGATCATCAGTAAAGATGTTAAACAGGAGTGGCCCCAAAACCGAGCCCTGGGGGACACCACTT